TTTTGTGCCTTTATCTTTATATCCAACATAAATCAAACTGAATTAGATGGTTTTTCCGTTGGCCATTTACACGTCAAACGGGACTGGCTTCTTCCTCGCAGAGAGGTGTTCATTTTCTGAACTACCCATCCATCTCACTTACTAGATATCTCACCCATTCTGGTACCGTATCCCTCACTAATATCAGTTGCGTTCCTTCCCCTCGCTCTAGATGTTATTGGTCGTAAGTTCACACTTCTCTTGGCGACCATTTTCCGCCTGATATCTTGTGCCACCTTGGTGTTTGCTGCTACGCTGCCACATTACATTTTTAGTGCTGTTTGCTCTGGGTTTGCCGACGCTATGGTAAGCCGCACCTCTATGTGCAATGGTTAAAATTGAGATTCACTTTCTATGGTACTTTTATCATGACGCATGAAGGAGTTTCTCACCAGTAGAAGGAGAACTCATACAGGAATTAAAACATTTGTTTAGTCTGCTTCGAACAGTGCACCGTGTTAGAGTCCCTATTCAGATTGAAAATTGCGCGGTATTGTATTTACGCACACTTGTATCTTCATCTCATTGTTTTCATGTCTTATCGACCATGGGAAGATGTTCTGTGTTTACACCTGGAAATATTATTATATGCAGTATCGATAGATATAATTTAGTATCGTCCTGTACTCACATGAGCAGGGTTCCCAAATACGAGAATTGATCCTCAATCAAAAAGAATTGATTCACGTTTGCATTCAAAAATGATTTGTTTATATGTACGTATCATTACGCAAACAATTACGCAATCAATAGGTCAATTGTACATATCTTCGTTGAACAACACAGATATGTGCTGTTCGTGACAGACAGACGACTTTCAAGGTCTACATTCTACCACAAAGCGAATAGATAAAAGTTATTTTCTATCTTAAATGCATTCTAGGTCAGTGGTACGGATCAGGCGCTGATATTCGACTCGTTGAAAGCGGCCAGACGTGAAAATGAATTCAAGCAATCATTAGCAAAGGCAAATTTTCTTTGGCCCGCCGCAGCCTGTATAGCCTCAGTCGGTGGCGGATTCTTGGCCGATCTGGGTAATGTCCGTTCGAGTGTTGTTAATGATGACGTATTGTGACGAGTTAAAATTGCAATATATTATCATTATATGCTCCAAGATTGTTAGAGTAGGATTTGCTCAAACTTTAAAATCGTAGAACAATACGATTCAAAAGTTTGTGCTAACTACAAGATCTGCACAACTGTTCACGAGCTATGTTATGTTCTACAATTATCAGTATAGGTGGACTCCCCTTGGCAGCACTGGTAACCTGCCTAGCGCTGTTAGCGGCTTTGTTTTGTTCGCTGAAACTCATCGAACCAGCTCGAGGGGGAAGTTCTCTCAATCTGCGGAGAAGCAGTTCTGCTATCTCGGCACAGAGCAGGACCGGCATGACAGGTGTCGCGTATGCTGGCTGGAGACACATTGTGCACACCACGAAGGACTTTCGGCATGATAAGAGGTTTGTATCGGCCGACATTGGTATATCGATGTCACTACAATATATATATACTAGATATATATATATATATATATATTGATATATATATATATACA